AGAGCAGTCTGGAGGGAGGAGCCCTGGGGCAGCCACGCCTGTGGAAATGGTTGGAGCTGAAGGTTTTGTTGTTTTTTGTCAAACCCAAGGAGGGTGGTGAGCGTGACTCTACTCAGCGTGTGGACTTTGTTTTAGGGCAGGCTGCTCACTCAGGGTGAGATATTTTTGACATATTCTGCACAAGGGGAATGGGGGCGGGGAGAGAAGCAAACTTGAACTGAAGAACATGAGGGCAGAAGTGGCAACAGGCCCAGACTGCCTCCAAACAACAGCTGTTGCAGGCCTTGTGGCAATTTGTGAAGGAGTCCAACAAGAACGGCAGCAACAACTTTGGGAGCTGATGTTCCACAGACTGATTAACCCACGGCCACGGCTGTCGGTGAGCGTCAGCCCTTCTCTGTCTATCATGAAACTGGATGGTGACCCTGAGGCTCCTTTTTCACAGTAGAGGTACAAGGGGTAAAAAAAATATATATATTAAGTGCCTACATGTGAGAAAGGCCATGCTGCCCCCGGTTCAGCTCAGTTCCATAGCAGTTCATAGAGCAACTCTTAGGAAGAAAATTGAAAGACTTAGGGATTCAATGGTGGGCAATGAAAAGAGAAGGTTGGCCAGACACAGAGGGGACTGATGGGGGGGACTTATGTGTTTTGCTTATTAGGAAAAGGAACACGTAAGAAAATTGTGTTACATACTGCACTGTAATTTTGGGAAGACATATGGAAGCCCACAGCCAAAAAGGACAATCACCAGGAATCTAGGAGGAAGCCTCCAGCCCTAAGTATTATGTAAGGGACAGTGGTATATACAAAAACATTGTTCCTCATGGATGTACTGACGATAGAGAGATGAGGTCTAGTAGAGGCCAGGGGTCTGGCTCTCCCAGTGGGTAATAAATGGACCCATAGAAATGGAAGGGCGAATTGTTAGAGCCCTGCAAATCTGTGGATATCCACTTTATAGCTGTAGACCATGTTTGTGGATCGTGGCTTGGATTCGGATACAAATTTTGTATCCTTGCAGGGTTCTAGGAATGGTGGCCTGCCAAGCTGACTCATGGTACACCCAGCCTTTGCTGTAAAAGGGCTTGATATGACTCGAGTGCCTTAAGGAATTAGATTCCATACAGGTCCCCTATGACTACAAGGACTCCAGGGCCTACCCAAAGGCTATAATTCCCCTATGAGAGGGGGCAGCTTGCTTGTGTTATCCTGTCCCACTGAAATGCAGGGAGCCTGGGTAAACTTTCAGTCTATCCTGGTTTCCAGGGTGTACCCAGGAATTCATGACCATGCAGAATGAGCTGTTGCAAATAGCAAGTCCTCTGGTCACTGCAGGGGCTTTGGGAGTTAGGTTGTCCAGGAGAGAGAAAACCAGGGTGCATGCCTAAGCATTGGCTCTAACAGGCTGGCAGTGTTTGCATAGAAATCATAGAAGTGTAGGACTGGAAGGGACCTTGACAGGTCATCTAGTCCAGTCCCCTGCACTCATGGCAGGACTAAGTATTATCTAGACCATCCCTGACAGGTGTTTGTCCAACCTGCTCTTAAAAACCTCCAGTCACGGAGATTCCTCAGCCTCTCTAGGTGACATGTTCCAGTGCTTACCCACCCTGACAGGAAGTTTTTCCTAATGTCCAACCTAAATCTTGATTGCTACAGTTTAAGCTCACTGTTTCTTGATCTGGCATTGGTGGTTAAGGAGATCACTTTATCACCCTCCTCTTTATAACAACCTTTTAGATTGTTATCATGTCCCCCCTCAGTCTTCTCTTCTCCAGACTCTATAAACCCAATTTTTTCAATCTTCCCTTGTAGGTCATGTTTTCTAGACCTTTAATCATTTTTTTGTTGCTCTTCTCTGGACTTTTTCCAATTTGTCCACATCTTTCCCGAAGTGTGGTGCCCAGAACTGGGCACATGATTCCATTTCAGGCCTTATCAGTGCTGAGTAGATTGGAAGAATTACTGCTCATGTCTTGCTTACAACACTCCTGCTAATGCATGAAACACACCTCCCTGTTAGCAGTCATTGATCCTGCTGGGAAAGGCTTAGGCTGAGGCAGGTGCTTTTATACCTCACTCATATAAAAGGGAGTGGCTCTCTGAAGAGAGAGAGAGAGAGAGAGAGAAAATGGATCTACAGTGTGTGAGACCCCTGAGGGAGCAGCACATTTGAGGCGAGGCCTAAACGGAACGTTATCAGATAGTTAATAAAGCTAAATTCCAGGAAGGGGTGGGGTTTTGACTTTGTTTTAGAGCAGGGTGGGAAGGTCACAGAGGGCCTCTGATCTTTTCTAAGTTACATGTTTCAGTTCAGAAATCTTTCATGACTCTAAAGTTTGAGAGAGGTGTCATGCTGAGCTTTTGAAATTCAATCTGAATATTGTATTTAATGGAAAACAGCACGACATGTTCCCAAAGGGATCCCAAAAATTATACCTGTTAATGTCAGTTCTGCTAAAAGGCATTAGTTAATTGTACCGCACAACAGCAAAGAACATTTATTCTTATTTAAAGGAAGGAAAAAGTCCTGTGACACATGCAAATGGCACATCACATATTTTAAACACTCTGCATGTCGCCTACACAAACTGAGCAGACATATTTGTCCCTTCAGCACCTTTCACAGCTTGAACACCAATATGTTTGCTTTTTACATGCTCTTGTCATTAATACCAACTACTAAAGGGAAAAATACATACAGCCTGTGCACCATGTCAGGAAAACGGGGCTTGGGGTCATGGGCCGCCTTGTGTTGTGGGGTCTGGGACACCTGCAAAGCCTCTTCACTAACCCTCTTTGGTCAGCAACTGCAGTGCTGATGAACTGCCTCCAAAGCTCCATGGCTAGAGTGCTGCAAGGTCTGTGAGGGTATGGGGCACATTCATTCATAAGGTATTAGGTCCATATATCCTCACAGATGAGCCGCCCTCTGCTTTTATGCAGGTCTCTGCAGTAGCGTTGAACCAGGGCCAGGCAGCAGCACTAACACCTGCACTGAGAGTTGAATGTGAACTCCCTGCCTGGGGAACATGTGGAACTTGGAAACTGAAACAGGCATAAATTTCTCTTCAGCGTGAGGGGGACTAAAATCCTGCAGTGCTGCGGAGCTCACGTTTGGCAAGGCAACAGCCTCACTCAGCGTAGAAGCTCTGCAAACTGTAGCTCCGACTTAAATATAAACTGACCGCTCAGCTCCAAACGTTGAGCTGTATAGCAATACTTTGATGTGCATCTGCCTAGTAATTCCGAGGTGGGTGCTGGCAACTGGCTAATTTCTGCCACTCGTGCAGCATCATAGGGGAAGGGAGTTTAATGTCACAGCAGATGTTGCCTGTGGGACTGGGATCCCTAAACTACCACTTCCTCAGGAGAGCAGGAACTGTAAATGTGGTGTGAAGCTTAGCTCAGGCTTTAGTTCTGGGAGACTGAATGATGGGGAAGGTTCTTATCCAGGTTCAAGTCTTCACCAACACCAGGAAGCATTCTACTCCCTAATCATTTCTGCTGGTTCCTGAGCTTTCTCCTTTGAGGAGACGTCATGCTCTTCTAGGGATGAAGAAGGATTAAACTTGCTTCTCAACAAGGGCTTGGGAAGGGGGCATTGGACTGTAGATGCCACAGGGATGGCCCCCATTCCAGTATCTGAATGTACTCTGAGGCCCTTAGAGAAGTCTCAGGCCCACGAGCTCCAAACGTTTGTTCCAAAGTCTCTCAGCCTCTAGCCTTTTGTGTTGCAGGAAAGCACCTGTAATTTTCAGCGTTGTGTTGTAGCCTGCCTCTGGCTCTGCCTGACTCGGTGTAGATGGATTGCAGAGCTGACCCAAGCCTGTCTTGCAAAGACTAGCCTGGGTCCCTGATTTCTTCTAGTCCAGGAAGCACAGTAAAGGCATTAGAGATGAAAGGAATCAGCAGCAGTGATACTCAATGCAGACTACGCTGTCAGGGAGACTAAGCTGCCTACCTTGTGTGCCAGAAAATGAAAAACGGCCAAAAATGAACCCCCCCTTCCTCCTGCTGCAGCCACCCCCTGCTCCCCTGTGTCCTAATGCCACTCCCAGATCCTTCACTGTCCAGTCCCTTCTCAGCCCCAACTCCCTCCCCTCTGCTCCCACCCTGTGAACCCATAGCAAGGCTGTGTTGAGCAGCTTATTCTGCTTAGTCTGATGATAGATAAGGCTGAGTGAGCATAACCCAAGTCAGTGCCTTCAACACCCAACCAAGCTCGATTCTGTTCCTCTCCAGGAAGGATTGGGAGACTCCCAGTGAGTTTGGTGAGGGGAGAGTGCATGTGTCTATTTCTAACTGGCGGTCACAGTTCCCCGCGAAACCATACACAAAAAATGTGTATGGTCCAATCCCATGGTGTGGAGTCAGTTGAGGGGTAGAGCAACTGTCTCACGCCATTGTATGGGAAGTGGGAGGTGATTTGGGGGCGAGAAGGTTTAAATGATATTCCTTCCCCCTGCACATTGCCTGGAAGAGGGGCCAGTTCAAGGGTCAGTGTCTCCTCTCAGCCAGCCAGCTGCCAAGAACATCACAGACTAAGGAGGGTTACTCTGAACATAGCCGTAGCAGTGTTTGGTGCAAGGCAAAGGGCATGCGCAACAGGATGTGATGCTGGCACTGAGCCCTCACTTCATGTCCTGTAATAAGGTACATAATTTAGTTTTAAATAATGTAATGTATGAGTCTAGGAGACATCCCTTGAGCCATGACTGGAGCAAATTCTGGTTAGCCTATGCAGATCTCTGTAATAAGCAGCTATTTCTAACAGCCTGATTTGTCTGGAGAGGTCTGACAGCATTCTCACGGTTGTTTATGCATCGGCAGGAAGTTAAGACTATGCAAGTATCAAAACGTTCATCCAGTCTGTAACGAGTCCGTGATGTCCACGTACAACAGAGCGTTTGCATTTGGTTTTCAGATACGTTTGGGTCTGTGCTGTAGCTCTGCCAGCTCATGTCTGCTTGATTGTATTTACCTTATTCATACAGAAAACCGGGAAAACACCTTCAGCCGTTCCCGAAGCTCCAGTGTCTCCAGCATCGACAAGGAGTCCAAGGAAGCAATTACAGCTCTGTACTTTATGGAGACCTTTTCACGGAAGAATGACTCTACGGTCTCCCCCTGTCTGTGGGTTGGAACAGGCCTTGGTATGGTTTTAATCATCTCCCTTAATCTGCCTGCTACTGAGGAATTAAGGCAGACAGAACCAGTCATGGTGTCTCCAAGTGGTAAGAGTTTTTGTCTGCTTTCCTGTTCTTTGTCTGTCTCGGTTGCAGGAGAGGGTATAAATATCTGCTTTTATCTGGTTTCTCTGACCAAAATCTCTCATGTAGTGAATATTAACCCCCGGTGGTTCATTACACTGAGTGCACAGAGAGATACAAAGGTGATTGTAGCAGTGATAGCTGTAATTTAGAGACGTAGGACAGTCTGTTTTATTAATCACAAAGATTAGATCTTACATAGAGCTGCACACATTCCTTGTAAGGACTGGAAACAGGAGACTTTTTTTTTTCAGACTAGAAAAATAGATAAGTTCCTCCTGGGAAAGTGTATTTGGGATTCCCTTGAACGTGTCAAGAATTTGATGGATCATGTGGCAACAGAAATGTCACTAAATTCCAGTAGAAGGTATCTTTAGATGTATTCATAGTACTTGGCACAAATAGCTATTTTCATATCTAAAGGTCTTCATAAACCTTAACTGATTATTCCTTCCCTGTGACATAGGGAGCTGCTCCCACTTCTGCAGATGAGGCAACAGGTACAGATGATAAGCGACTTGGCCAGTGCTAAGAGAGAGCCAATGATAAAGCCAGGATTAGATCTCAGGAGTTCCTGCCTTCTAGTCCTGTGCACTGACCCCCTCAGACAGGTCTCACTCATAGGAGAGGTCTAGCTTTCAGGACAAAAACTCAGCTTTGTGTAAAAGTAGGTGCAGAATGAACTAGGCCCTTGTTTCCCACCAAGTTACGATGATGATTACAATTACAAGATTACTGACACAGAGGATGGTCAATTGAGTGCAGTTATGGACACTGATGAGGACATACCATGAGAGTAGAAACAAGGGCAGAGAACAAAAAACAAGGTTCAGTTTTGGAAAATACAAGTTAGTGCATGTGAGGAAAAACAATTGCAAGTACATATACTAACTGAGAGGGGGAAATGTAGAAAGCAGAGAGACCTAGATCTAGCCGTAGGCCGCAGATTGGTCATGAGTTTGTGGCTATGGCTTGGAAACAAGGCTAGTATAATTTTGAATGGCTTAGACAAAAACATTTTGTCCCTGAGCAGAGAGGTTATAGTCCTCCTACATACAGCTCTGATCCAGCCCCAGCTGGAATATTGTGATCAGGTCGGGGGTGTCATTACCAGAGAAATCAGAGGGAATTCAGAGAAGAATGACAAAATGATTAGGGGGTGAAGGGGATAATTTCCAGGGAAAGATTGAAAGATCCCAAGCACGTCTTGGCTAAGTGACAGGCACAGGTTACAGGGGATACTGGAGGGGGGTAAACACCAAGGAGGGACAGGATTTATTTAGCAGTTTTAAAGGGAGCTAACTAGGAATAATGGGAGGAAATTTAGGAGTAAAGAACTGTAGTCTGTATTAGACAAGGAAAGGATAGGAGCCACCTCAGTTGCATGCTTAAAACATGACTGGAAAGACACTAGAAATTGCACGGGAAAGAACAATCCTATTGGTAAGAGAATGGGATACATGCCGTAATTGGCCATTTTTCTCTCTAAATTCTACTGTTTTCTATTGAATTTTTTTGTTAGGTTGCCTGAAACATTTTCAATAACTGCAGCTCTGCTCGTTCACCATCTCTGCCTGGCTGCAAAAATATTTAGTTTGAAGCAAAAGGTTACTTTGTGCAGTTAGCAGTGCAGTTCATTAGCTTAGTAGGGCTGAGATGTGCTACTGTACCCCTAAAAGCAGGGGTGGGCAAACTTTTTGGCCCAAGGGCCACATTGGGGTTGCAAAACTATATGGAGGGCTGGGTAGTGAAGGCTGTGCCTCCCCAAACAGCCTGCCCCGCCCCCTCCCACCCCGACTGCCTCCCTCAGAATTCCTGACCCATCCAACACCTCCTGTTCCCTGTCCCCTGACTGCCCCCACCAGAGCCCCTGAATCATGCAACCGCCCCCTGCTCCCTGTCCCCTGACTGCCGCCTGGACCCCCCGCTCCCCGCCCCCTTACCATGCCGGAGCCAGCCACACCACCGCGCTGCCCAGCAGGATGGCGAGCCAGAGCGCTGGTGGTGCAGTGAGCTGAGGCTGTGGGAGAGGGGGAACAGCAGAGGAGGGGCCGGAGGGTAGCCTCCCCGGCTGGGAGCTCAGGGGCCGGGCAGGATGGTCCCACCTCTGCCCTAAAGGGAAAATCTGGATGCAAAATAGACCATGATGAACATATGCACTAGTGACCACTGGATTTTTTGACAAGCATATGCTAAAGCTAGAGCATTATATTTTACAGGTACAGTTCTGACACTGAAGGGAGCAGTGCTGACTTTTTCATGCCTGGACTGCATGGGAGCATTGATACATCCACCCTATGAAGTATGGAGGGACCCAAACAGCATAGATGACAGTGAAAAAACGAGAAAAAGGAAACTTGTCATGTATTCTCCTTCGTCCTCCCAGGATATGGGAGATCATCAGTTTGCTGTCATCTGCTCAGAAAAACAAGCCAAAGTTTTCTCACTGCCTTCCCAGACATGCCTCTATGTTCACAACATCACAGAAACGTCCTTTCTATTGCGAGCAGATGTGGTGACCCTGTGTAACAGCATCTGCCTGGCTTGCTTTTGTGCCAATGGGCATATCATGACAATGAGGTACTTACCTAGCTAATCATTTGGCAAAATTGTAAAAGGCAACAGAATTAGGGCTGTAAAGGGGAGCAGGAGGCACACTGTCCACCTGCAAGCTGCTGCAGTAGGTGGCTGAGCATGTTTTTATTATACACACATGTAAAGGAAAGCTGTACCCATTTTGCTCTGGTATATAATTTCTCTCAGTTAGTAATCCTTCTCACCATCTAGTACCAGGATTATCTCTGACAGCAATAGCATGGCAGAAGCAGCAGCGCTCACTATGGCTAAAGTTGCAGAATAGTTTCCATGCAATCTCTCTTTGGTCACTTATAACTGTCAGCTTTCAGCTTCTGGGCTAAAGACTTCCAAGCCTGGTCTCACCGACATATGTTCAATCACTGTGGAAATCAAAATACCGTTCCCTACATTATAAAAAAAAAAATAGGGCTGCCAAGTGATTAACAAAATTAATTGCATGATTAATCGTGCTGTTAAATAATAATAGAATACCATTTATTTAAATATTTTTGGATGTTTTCCACATTTTCAAATATATTGATTTCAATTACAACACAGAATACAAAGTGTACAGTGCTCACTTTATATTTGTTTTTTATACAAATATTGCACTGTAAAAAACAAAGAAATAGTATTTTCAATTCACCTAATACAAGTGCTGTAGTGCAATCTCTATCATGAAAGGTGAACTTACAATGTAGAATTATGTACAAAAAAACTGCATTCAAAAATAAAACAGTGTAAAACTTCAAGGCCTACAAGTCTACTCAGTCCTTCTACTTCTTCAGCCAATTGCTAAGACAAACAAGTTTGTTTACATTTACAGGAGATAATGCTGCCTGCTTCTTAGTTACAATGTCACCTGAAAGTGAGAACAGGCATTTGCATGGCATTGTTGTAGCCAGTGTCGCAAGATATTTACGTGCCAGATGCGCTAAAGATTCATATGTCCCTTCATGCTTCAACCACCATTCTAGAAGCCATGCGTCCATGCTGATGATGGATTCTGCTCGATAGCGATCCAAAGCAGCGCGGAGCGACACATGTTCATTTTCATCATCTGAGTCAGATGCCACCAGCAGAAGGTTGATTTTCTTTTCTGGTGATTCGGGTTCTGTAGTTTCTGCATCAGAGTGTTGCTCTTTTAAGACATCTGAAAGCATGCTCCACACCTCGTCCCTCTCAGATTTTGGAAGGCACTTCAGATTCTTAAACCTTGGGTCGAGTGCTGTAGCTATCTTTAGAAATCTGATATTGGAACCTTCTTTGTGTTTTGTCAGATCATCAGTGAAAGTGCTCTTAAAGCAAACAACATATGCTTGGTCGTCATCCGAGACTACCATAACACAAAATATATGGCAGAATGCGGGTAAAACCATGGAGCAGGAGAAATACAATTCTTCTCCAAGGAGTTCAGTCACAAATTTAATTAACACTTTTTTTTTAACAAGCATCATCAGCAATGGACGCATGTCCTCTGGAATGGTGATCGAAGCATAAAGAGGCATATGAATGTTTAGCATATCTGGATCACAAATACCTTGCAATGCTGGCTATAAAAGTGCCATGCAAACGCCTGTTCTCACTTTCAGGTGACATTGTAACTAAGAAGCGGGCAGCATTATCTCCTGTAAATGTAAAAAAACTTGTTTTTCTTAGCGATTGGCTGAACAAGAAGTAGGACTGAGTGGACTGGTAGGCTCTAAAATTTTACATTGTTTTGTTTTTGAGTGCAATTATGTAACAAAAAAATTCTCCATTTGTAAATTGCACTTTCACGATAAAGAGATTGCATTACAGTACTTGTATGAGGTGAATTGAAAAATATGGTTTCTTTTGTCATTTTTACAGAGCAAATATTTGTAATAAAAAATAATATAAAGTGAGCACTATACACTTTGCATTCTGTGTTGTATCAGAAATCAATATATTTGAAAATGTAGAAAAACATCCAAAAATATTTAATAAATGTCAATTGGTATTCTATTGTTAACAGTGCGATTAAAACTGCGATTAATTATGATTTTTTTTTAATCATATGAGTTAACTGTGATTAATCGACATCCCTAAAAAAATTAATTCTTACAAATTCTTTTTTGATTAGCTCCACGGAGTGGGTCACAGATCACCCAAAGGAGAAGCTGCATGAGTTAAGAAATTGCATTTAGCTAAAGTTACCTATTGCTTCACACAAGTGGTTCTTATATTTCATTAGTGCTGCTGCTGGGGCTTTTTTTTTTTTTTTTTTTTTTTTTTTTTTTTTTTTTT